ACTGGGCAGTCACTTCGATCTCGAGAGGAGGACCTGACTTGCGTTCCTTGGCCATACTGACTTTCCACTGGCAGCTGGGGTCGTCCCAGACGAGGGCGTTGATCTTTGTTCGGAACATTGCCGTATCCGAGAGTCGATATCTGTCAGCAACGGCGTTCAAGTACTCCCTGATCTCGTAGCCGTAGGCGTACTTATGTTTCGGGATGTATTCCATCTCCTCGAGGAGAGGGAGATAGCAGTATGACTCGATGTCGCACATCAGTCCTGGATACCGGTTGTAATACCACGTGCCTCCGACGCCTCCCGCCGCGTCGACGATACGGATCTCAGACGCCGTAATGCCGGCTTTGATGAGCTTGATGGCGAACAAGAGACCACCGCATCCCGCTCCCAGGATGAGATACTTGACGTGTTCGCCGTTGCGGATGGTCACGGTCTCCGACCGCTCATCGAGCCAGGGATCCTCTCGATAATGCTTGAACTGTTCCGATATTGCAAGATCAATGTACTGGGCATCGCCGTCGGGTCGTGTTCGCTTCTGCCGCTCTTCGTCGTACGTCTGCTGGATCTTCACGGCGGCTTCAGCAGTAGCCCTTGCGAGGTGTGGGTGGCTGCCATTGATCCGATCTGGGGTCGCCGCGTTAACTTGGGTTTTCTGATCCCCACCTGGAACTGGACTGTTTGGAGGAATGGCCGTGGATGCTTGTCCGACCATCTTGCTCGCAGCATCTGACGATGGACGGATGTTTCAACTAAAAAAAGCAAAGCAAGGGTTGTAATACCTTGGGCGCGAGGACCCGAGGGCTTTTTAATAGTGCTATGCTCAGCTTCTGAGAGTAGTACGTCGTCTGCGTGTGATGACGGGCAGGAGGTACAGCCCCTCTGCATGGGAAGAGTGGGTTTCACAATTGGTCGCCTAATACAGGCATTCCATTTTGCCTCGTCGGACACGACATGGCCATGAGTGCATGAGCAGGATGAAATGGCCTGCCTAAGGGTTGATCGTACGGGAAAGAGAACCAATCATCTGTAAGGCGCTCTTGATGGACTGATAAAAGGATCTAGAGGGCAGATTGAGGCATGGTTGCTAAGAGTATAGAGGCTGTGGGTCTGGCCTTCGCGGGGGTCAGCACTTGCGATGGCTGATCATGTAACTTGGGGGATGAGCAGCTTCTATATTCCGCATCCCATTCAAATATGGACGGAATCCTACAGGTGACATGGCCTGTCAAAAGGATAGGGAGAGAACTCGGTCTCAGTCGCCGGCACCTTTTGAGGATAGAATAGATGTAGGAATGTACTGGAGAACCTTTGGCTAACCACCGCGCCGAGAATCCTTTGGCGGCTGACGACTACATAAGATGAACCACTGGAATCTGTTTTGGTATCGGTATCGGGTCCATGTCGCTCCTCCAGCACTTATTCGTTACGCAGTACTGTACCGGCGACACAACGAGGGGGCCACGGCTGCAAAGAGCTTTAACACAAAAGGCAAACATAAAATTCGCTTTCGCGTGGGCAGATTTTGTGACGATGGCCAGCTGAAGAACTCATTCAGAAAAGGACTACCACAGTGTGACTGTGAAGCCCGACAGATGCAGTGACTGTTTTGTACATGAACGACTATTCCACAAGACTCAAACGGACATGCCTGGCGAGCGTGTTTTATCCTTTCAGTTCAATCGTCTCTCGGATGATCTCGATGTGCGGTTTTGAATACACTGCTTGCAGAGATCGACGAACGTATTCCCCTGAAGTCATGGGCTGGAACTTCGCAGGCTGATCAGGCGTGACAAATTGCTCAAGAGCCTTCAACTCCGCCTCTTGGTTTGCTACAATGAGTCAGCAGATAGCATTGAAATAACCGATGTAAGACACTGACCGCCTAGGAAGAAGGGAACTGAATACCGATCTCGCTTTGAGAGGTTGAGTACTCTGTGCATGGTGGACACGAAGAGTCCGTTGGTGAGCATCGCCATAGAATCTCCAATATTGACCACAAATGTACCCGGAATGGGTTTCGCCTGGATCCACCGCCCAGTATTGGACAGTACCTCGAGAGAGGGAATGTCGTCCTGTAAAAGAATCGTCAAGAGCTCGTAGTCTGTGTGAGGACGAATTGATGATGGTTCCTCTGATCCAGCAAGCACCCCAGGGTAATGCGCCATCTTGAGAATTGAGTATGGTCTAGTAGCTAGGTGGTCGAATGAATGCTCTTCCAGATTGAGGCCAAGTGCAAACATTCGAAGCAGAGATCGACTTAGCGCGATCATATGAGACATATACGCCTTGACGTTCTTCTCGTAGCCAGGAAGACGTTTCTCTGAGGGCCACCAGTTGTCACCATTGTTCTCTGAGGTGACAGCTTCAGGGTCGGTCGAGGGTTCGTATCCATAGTTAATGCCTTCATTTAATTCTAGAAATTGTGAGAAATGCCGGTCTTGGGGAGTGAAGGGACGTACTTGCTCCTGCAGGCAGAGTGGGGTCAAGATTGATTGGATAGTAGCCATAGTAGTGCTCATGCTTTTCTGTATCATATTGCATTTTCTCTTCGAGACTAAGTTCATGGAAGAAGCGCCTGGATTCTGAAAAGATCGATTTGATGACCTCGTCCGGGACACCATGGTTACTGACATAGAAGAAACCCACATTGACTGCGGCATGGCATATCTCTTCAGCCACAAGCTTTCGACGACCTCGATCTGGATGACGTATATCACCGATGTCAATGACGGGGAGGCTGAATGTGGCTTCTGTGCTGGACGGGGAGAGGACCCGTCGCCATCCTAGTCCTGTCTTGACTTCCTGGTAGCCGTCAGGGCTGGTCCTGATGATATCCATCGTCGAGAGGACGATATGCGATGTCGGCAACTGTCGTCGCTGACAACGGCACACTCATCATTTATCTATCATGTCTAGCTTCGATCGGACAAGCCCGCTAATCGAAGTAGAACACAAGAGACGCCGAGAATGCCAGATATCGAATAGTGTGCACATGTCCGTAGATGGGATCCAACCTTCAGTTGCTGGTTGATAAAAGATCACGAATGGGCTAGAATCTATGTCATTAAAAGTCAACTGCAATTTTCCCGCCATGCCAACAGTTCCCTGGCTCATTGGATTGCGTTGGAGCAGTCAACAATTCGCAATTTGCCTCCTGAATGTCCGGCCTCGTGCGTCCTGACAGACTCACCTACCCACAAACTTTAGGGTGTAAAGACGGAAAGTAAGGTAGCTAGACCTGCCGAACCGCTTGGCCGATTCACAGAAGGCTGCAGCTCGGTTTAAACGCCCTTTTCATGATTGAGGCATTCCCCCTCGATCATGCTTGAACCAATGCCCGCGTGGTCTGCTTTCCCTGGAAACCATCGTTGCCGATGGGCGCTGGGCAGAGTTGGTAGGCCATATTTGTAGTTCTGGCCGAGAGACGGCCAATTTTGATATGTCGTCCCTCCTGTCATCGCCGTCACGCGTTAGCAGTATGACATTCTCAAATACGGCCCAAATCTTCCGCAAGGTTTCGTGCTGTTGAGATCTTGTTGCGAAGACAATCGACAAGGTGCGTGTTTGACCTGCTGTATTCGGTGAGGACCAGGAGGTATTTCGGGCTGTTTCCAGGTGTTGAGCTCTCCGGTTCGTAACAACGAGGGTTTTCGAAGCAACGAGGTTGCTGCTGCAATCAGAAGATGATCTCAATATTATTGGCTCCTGCTTGCCATCCCAACACGAGTCTGGCGTGCTGCGGGTGTTACAAGAATTACAATGTGATGAACAGCAGGATACCAGGTAAATTTGGGAAGCAGATTCCAAGGAACCCAAAGGCAGGTGAGCGCCAAGGCCATAGCATGCTGGCCTCACCGGCCCAGCACAAGCGGGGATGGTCTAGGATAGTTAGGCAATAACAACCGCCCGAAAGACGAGTTAGGCCCCCTTAGGCAACCCCAAGAGGCGACACGTGCCTACCTAAGCAGGTAGAAAGAGCACCGATAGGCTCTCTCTGCTTGCCTACTTGTTAGAAGATAAGGTTACCCAGGTCTCTGGCTAAATGCCGAGTACCAGTACGGGGAGGTTATGACTCCCTCCAATGCCTGCCCGCCACCTACCTTTGTTTCCATCTCGAATTCCCTTCAGAAACAACTCCCTGGGCAACACGTTGATCGCTTGAAGCTCGGGTCATGTAACAGCAGGGTTGGTCGATCGATTGGCGAAGGATCATGCCATCTCCCCGTGGGCCATCTTGAAACGCCTGCACCGTCGATGAAATGGCAGCTTTGGCGTGTGCCTTGATCCCCGAACTCGTCGACTGTTTTATGACGCGCTGTGGGATAAAGGATGCTCTGGTCAGGGCCGTTATGAGCGCTTTTGCTGGGTTTGTATGTACCCCGTCCTCCGTACCTCCCCAGCCACAATACACGCATTGTGGATTCTCTTCCGAGCCTACTAGTCTCTATGGACAAAGTGAAACTCGACTTCAAACAGGGCCCAAAGGTGCTACGATTGGTGATTCAGAAGACAGACAGGCGGCCAATCGCCAGGCTGATCCCCGCATGCCCCTGTGCCGATGGAACAACCTGCGACACTCGACGAGGCTGAACCCCTTCTCCACCGTCTCAGCCTTGCCCTCGCCTGTTTGACTCTCAGCTTCTTCTTTGTTGATTTGGTTGTCGATTGGATTGAGGTTACATTGTCCACCAGCACCTCATTGGAAATTAATTCTACAGCCGTCCAGCCTCGTACCATTTACCTTCTCATCCACTTGAATTGATTTGCTAATGGAAAAGGGGTTGTCCAAGGTGAGTTGTGTCGTCGAAGCCTGACTGATTGATTCAAATACACGCTGCACCTCGCAGTTCTTCGCTCTTTTCCATCCCATCATCCAATTCTGGTCTCTCCTTTATTCCGTGCTTCTCTGTGTTCTATCAGTTGATCTTCTGTAACAATATTTCATTTTGATTCAATTCAAACAACTGCCGGTCCAGTTCCGCTACATCATATTCAAAATGATTACCAACACCCCTTCAAAATCTTCTCTTTTTTTAGTCCTCAACCGTGAGTCGATTCAATCGCACCCATCATAACGTGTGTTCGCTGACACTTACCTCACAGTGGCACTGCTGGTCCTTGGCCAAGGCACACAATTCATCACTGGACCCTGCACGAGTGATGCCGATTGCGCCTCCAGCTGCTGCGGCTTCAACTCCGGCCTGTGCGCCGGCCCCGTGATAGCCCAGACGCGAGACGGAGGATGTGGCTTTGGCGATGCACAGCCAAATGACATCGCCGCCCAAGCCTTCTTCAGCTCCCAGTCAGCAGCAGCAGCAGGTGCGACATCACCTGCAACTGCTGCTCCCGCCCCGGCCGCTACTACGGCCGCTGCTTCAGGATCAAACAACGGCAACGTCGGTACTGGAACGCAATTTATCACTGGGCCTTGCACGAGTGACGCAGACTGTGCCTCTGGATGTTGCGGCTTCAACACTGGCAAGTGCGCTGGTGCCATTGTCGCCCAGGAGCGAGATGGCGGATGCGGATTTGGCGACGCCCAGCCAAACGACAACGCTGCAAGGATCCTTCGCGGAGAACAACCCACCTCGGCTGCCAGTTCTGCACCGGCCCCAGCGAATTCTGCCTCCACTGGTACCAGCACCAGCACGTCTGGCTCTTCGTCCTCTGGGTCAGGAACCATCGACACATCTATCCCAGGCTCTCAAAACGTGGGCAAAGCCAACGGCTCGCAATTCATCACAGGCCAGTGTTTCAGCGACGCCGACTGCGCTTCTGGATGCTGTGGATTCAACACCGGCAAGTGCGCGGGTGCGATCATCGCGCAGACTAGAGACGGAGGGTGCGGCTTTGGAGATGCTCAGCCAAATGACAACGCAGCGAAGGCATTGACCGGGGGAGCGAAGAAGAGGAGAGGCATCGGAGCTGTGAGGGAGTACATGGCATGATTTACGACATTTGGGAGGAGACGATGATAATGATGATTGGCATACTTCCACGCAGGCAGTGGCGCAAGGCATGATTCAAAAAAACCGAGTGTATATAACGATTGCCTTCCTCCAGTGGGGAGGGTATGTATTTAAGGCTTTCTACATGGCATTTATCTTTGGTGACACCCAATAGCTTCGAGAAAGTCAAAAGACTACCACACAAAGAACTTGCATTTATTCACGGATGCATTATCGGGGTTGCACTCCCCTCCTAACTGAAATAACTGTACAGAGGTCTGGTAATTACTGTGACGGAAAGTGAATGGGCTACTGCACCCTGCTTATATTAGAGCTCGCCTGATGTCTCCACTCATTCGTATCAAACCATTTGCAGCACTTTCCACGACCCTAACGTGTCTGTGCCGACGTACCGAGTGGAGATGTCGGATTCTTGATCGGATCCGGATATGGCCTCGGAAAACATTTGTGGCATTGCTCTTATCAGAACTCAACCGAAACGGAAATGCATCAAAGCCCCTGCCGCGGCCATGCGCACGCACCGGGAGCGGGAAACAGGAGCGGGAAACAGGAGCGGAATCAACTGCGGAATCGATTGTTATGTTCATGTGCTTGTTTGATGGACACCAAGGATGTTAAGGACGCCAACTCGTTCGGTGATAAAGAGAGAATTTCGGCCCATTGTCGTTAGCTCCGACTAGCCAGTCATGTGATTTGCCCGTTCGCGTCATTGAGATTGGCCCTTGGCTGGAGAGAGCTGGAGAAAGCTGGAGATAGCCTCTCTTATGCCCTCTATCGACCACTGCCTCGTATCGACCTGGGAACCTCAGTAACTTGCTCTGCAGCTGCCGAACCAGAACTCGACGCATAAAAGGCCCGGTCGAGCCCAATTTAAGCAGCACCAGTGATCTTGAGCACACAGAGTCACGTCGCCCCAAAGAAACATTCCGCCAGTTCATTAACAGCCAGTTCAAGGTCATTTCAAACGCCAAGGATGGAATATCAATACCTCGGCAGGAGTGGGCTTAAGGTCTCCAAGGTCATCCTGTAGGTGGTAGCCTACCGTTCCCGACTGATTCTACACTGCTAAACGAATGGGACAGGGGAGCCATGTCCTACGGCACGCCAGAATGGCAAGGTTGGGTGTTGAATGAAGAAGACTCGTTGCCTTTGCTGGAATATGCATACAAGGTCGGCATCAGAACCTGGGATACTGCCGATGTGTACAGCCATGGCCGGTCCGAGGAGATTATCGGCAAGGCAATCAAGAAGTACAATATTCCCCGGGAACGCTTGGTGATTCTGAGCAAATGCTATTTCGGTGTGACTCCAGACACTCCTGGCAACGCTATTGGTGCAAGTTCGGTCAACGATGGGGATATGCTCAACCAAATGGGTCTGAGTCGCAAACACATTATTGATGCTGTGGATAAGAGCGTCGCACGACTGGGCACCTACATCGATGTTCTACAGATTCATCGACTGGACCGGTCGGTACCGCGTGAAGAGATCATGAGAGCTCTCAATGACGTCGTCGAATCTGGTAAAGTTCGGTATATTGGTGCTTCTAGTATGGCTGCATGGGAGTTTCAGGAACTACAAAATGTAGCCGACAAGTACGGGTGGCACAAGTTCATCTCGATGCAGAATTACTACAACTTGCTCTACCGAGAAGAGGAGAACGAGATGATCCCGTACTGTAACCACACAGGCATTGGTCTCGTGCCGTGGTCGCCCGTCGCGCGTGGAGCCTTGACTCGTCCTTGGGGCGATCGGGACACCCTCCGCGAAAAGACAGACCACTACCTCAAGTCCCGGATCCGCGAACAAGAGGACAAAGTGGACGAAGAGATCGTGGGTCGAGTAGAGAAAGTGGCCAAGAAGATGGGCAAGAGCATGGCCCAGATTGCCATTGCCTGGTGTCTGAGCAAGAAGGATGTTTGCCCGATTGTCGGCTTGAATAAGAAGGAGAGGATGGATGAGGCGATCGAAGCATGCAAGATCAAGCTCAGCGAGGAGGACATCCAATACCTCGAGGAGCCGTACATGCCCAAGAAGAGGCAAGGCTATTGACCTACCAGTACATTGCGGTGAAGTGCGAAATAAGAGCGGAGATCAAACTGTGTGCGAATGTCTGCCGGCCTCATCGAAGACATTCTGGTATAGGTACCTCGAGAGTGCTCAACGATGTCGAAGCGGCAGCTATATCGAATATAACGAACAGGATGGGAGAAAGGACGGAGCTGCTCTATCTCTAAAGGTCAACGGAATGCCCATTACCTACGAAGACGGCATCCATTCCAACAATGAAGGCATTGAGGCTATCACACGTGTCCTTCTCACTGGCATATGTCTTTGAGCTGATTCCTCTTGGCGGTTGTCATGTAGTTGTTATGGTGAGGTGAATCTCTTCCCCCACCGTCGTCACCACTGCTGTTTTGTCTTCAATTTCACTTGACTCTCACTCCCACCGTCACAATTCACACCCACATCACGGAACCACCTTCGCGCTGTCTGCGGTCGAAGTCATCTGCGCATTTTCCTTTCCGCTTCTCGCACGTCCTCCTCCTCTTGCAGCTCCGGTACTCTCAAGTACCCTTAACTTTTCAACGCGCTGACCTCAGACACATTTCAAGGTCATCATACCAATACGTCGAGCGACACCGATTCGTACTTTCACCTTCTTCTCAGAGTGCCGCACCTAAAAGACTCTCCTGCAGCAATCTGTCTTCCTCTTGCATGCACAATCAATAATGGGCGAGACATACTCCACCTTCAACCAGTCCAACAACTGGGAACAAGGGGCCGATAGTGAGCAAGATGACTGGATGCCAGGTCATGGCGCTGGTCATGCCGGAGCAAGCAGGCCTGTAAGACGTGGAATCTTGATCAACTCCACCGGCCTGCCTCCTTATGGCACCCCAAACTTCCGTGGCGTCACAAAGACTCGTGAGGGAAAGGGCAAGGCCATTCGACCCAACCGACTCAAAGGTTCGGTCAACAAGCCTACTCCTCGCGGTGGCTGTGGTTATGACAAGTCCAAACCGTTGAAGTCCGCTACTAGCAACAAATACCACAAAGCTGTCTTTCCTGGCATGAGAGTCCCAGTCTATATGCGCAAGCGCAGCAAGAGAGACCGCTGTGGATACCGATCTGAAGGTGGAGTCATCCAGTCCAGCCAACCTGAGTATGTCCCTGTTATGTCGGTCCAATGCCCCATGCCTGGTGGTACGGCGGTCACCATGACCACTGATCCAGTACAGAAGGTCAGTTGGGGTCCAATCACTAGGATTGAAGCCAGTGAAGAAGCCCGTGAGTTGATCAATCATTGGCGTGAGGCCTTGAAAGACGCAAAGAAGACAAAGGATAAAGGCAAAGTGAAGAATGAAAGTGATGATGACGAAACAGACAAGCCTGTAAAGACCAGGGGAGCAAAGAAGGGGAACAATGCTGCCACGGTTGTTGTCGGCATAGAGCCTGACGAGGGGTCTAAGTATCAAGATCAGGAGGATATTTCCATCAACAACGATCTCACACCAGCAACTACCTCCCAAGCCGACACCGAAGCAACTACAGATACTCACCCTCCGCGCCGCTTTCTGAAACCCCCACCTCCAACACCCCCTGACACTATCTTCCACAAGACACATTCTCAATTAGTGGCGGCTGCCCTCTCGATGCCAACCCTTCCGACTCTCCACCGCATCTCTGACCCACAACTCGTCGAACAGTATCGCCTCCAGCATGCCATGGACCGAGAAACATTCGAAAAGGAAACTCGCGCCATCAAGAAAGGGCTTGTAGATGCAAAGGTCGCGAGAGGTGGGAAGCCGAGACTGTTGAAGAATGAATACACCGTTGAGCTGGCGAGTCGCGAGGATGCGGAAACGGCAGAGAAGTGGGCCAGAGACCAGGGGAGAAGTTTCGGAATTGTGGACATGAGAAGCCGGGCGAACAGTGCGCTGGCGATAAGTGGCCCCGGGGTTAGCCCTGGGGAGTTGGGTCTCAAGATGATGGGCGGAGAAATGGAGGCTTCGGAGTCGGCGAGTGCTGCGAGTGCGATGAAAGAGCACGCAGGACCGGATAGGATCGAGGAGGCACTAGAACAACAATTTCCGAGTCTTCATCGAACCGAGCACCCTGCCACGAGTGCCTCTGCAGAGCAACTCTCAGCTGTAGGACCGGAGGACGAGATCTTGACTGCAGAGGCACGGCGTAAGGAAAACAAATCGTCGACCCACCCCAAAACTGGCACCTACCCCCAACTGAAAGACAAGCCAACGCTACGCAATGTCAAATCTCAACTCTCACGCCTCAACCTCTCCGAGCACGTGAGCAAGATCACCACTTACGGAAGCGTGCGTCATCAACACTCTGTCAAACGAGAGGCCAGTGACCACGGCGAGAAGCGCACGGTCAAGACATGGATCGAAATAACGGAAGTTTATGAGGTGCCGGCTCCCAAGGTCCTTACCATCAAGGATGTGGTGGCTGCAGTCGAAGAGGAATCTGAAGGGCGCGATAGCGAGGGGGAAGACTGGCAAGGCGAGAGCAACGAAGAAGAGAGCGATGATAGTGACGAGAGCGAGAATTACACGGCGCAGAAGAAGGACAAGGGAAAGCGGGTGAAGAAGAGAGAAAAATTAATTGCCAAGTCAAACGTCAAAGCCAAACTATCAGCGGCTTCGGAGAGCGACGAGGAAGGCTACGCTTCGGACACTGATTTCGACTCCTCTTCATCCTCTACCACTTCGGACTTCGACAGTGCTAGCGGCCACGGCAGCGTGCACGGATCCAGAGAAGAATTCCATGACCCGGATGAGACAGAAACAGAGGCACTTTTTCGTTCTCTGTCGCGCTTTGGGGAGGTCAACGTCGAGACTATTGCGCAGGTGAGCAGCGATCTGAGGGCGTTGATGGCCGGGTTGAGAATGGATGGGATGTTGAATATGCGCGAGGATTAAGGTGCACCGAGATGAAGAATGACCCACCACACGAGAGGGCCAAACGTGACAGTTCAGGCTAAGATGCCAAAGGCGCGATAGAGGAAAGCGGTTGCAAGCTGTTGCGAGCTCATGTAACTTCGACTACAAGGCCGATCCGTTCAACAGAAGCATTTCTGAGATGGAAGACTGGGATCGTACCACTAGTGCTGTGATGATTACTCCAGGAGAGGCGGTGGTCGAGCTGAAGCCAAAGACCTGGACGGTGGACGAGGACACGACCACGGGCGTGGAGGCTGGAGGAGTAATTCACAGGTGTCAAAGTGTGCAAGGAGGGCTGAGAAGGCCCCGAAACGAAACGGATCCTTCACACAATGCGTGAGCTGGGGCAGTGATCAGGACTAGTGCAAGGATGCATCGACACACAATGAGACGAGCTCATATGACTGGCTCATTCAGGTTGCTCAGACACGTAGCCCAGACATCCCATTCAGAGCTCAGGCAGTCCATCAAAGTCACAGACCAAATCAAGAGCCAATGTGCTATGTACATCGTCTTGAGTCCTCCCTGTCTTGGCCCATGTTACTCCATATATCCATGGAGCAATGATGAATACAGAGCATGGGAAACAAGGCACACAAGGTCCCTTGGTACAGACCTACATACCTACATAGGAACCCCAGTAGGTACGAGTTGGAGAATCTTCTGCAACGTCCTTTCACGAGATTGGTACCCAGGTATTCTGTTTCTGTTTGTATTTTTCATCGGTAGTGGTATTTGATCTGTTGGATCGATCGGTCAGTCGAGAGATTGATTGATATTCCTACATTGGCACGCTATATGCATCCAGCCAACCCAGCTCAGCCCAGCCCAATCCAGCCCAGTTCGGTAAACCGCACCTCATGGCCTTGATAGCAACGAATCCACCTCGAATGCCACTCAGAGGAGATGTGGCGATCGCTCAATGATTTCCGGGATAGCCGGAGTTTTGCAACGGAATGAGAGGTACGCCGGCGATGCATACATTTCATGGCAAGTATATGATTTTCTTTTCCGTTCCAACGGGGAAGAGTTCGCTTTTGCTGATCGGTTTAGTTTAATTTTTGTTTTTATTCGGCAACCCAAACAGCAGCCATGCCCCTGCGTGCGGAAAGAAAAGCGTTAGTGAAAAAATCACTGAGCAGAGAAGAAAGGGAAAACAAACACAAGAAAGCAAAACTTACATTCCCGTACCCACGCACATACTCGTCACGCCAATCTTCTTGCCTGTCCTCTTCAGCTCCGTGAAGAGGGTGCTCACCTGCCTTGCGCCAGTGCACCCTAGAGGATGGCCAAACGCAATGGCGCCGCCCTTGGGATTGACTTTCTCAAAGGGCAAGCCCAATTCCTTGACACACCAGACACATTGACTCGCAAACGCCTCGTTGATCTCGTAGATATCAACATCATCCTTGGAGATGCCGGCTTTCTCTAGCGCTACGGGGATAGCCTTCCAAGGTCCAATACCCATAAGCAACGGTGGGACACCGACTACAGAGGATGCCACAAATTTGCCCAGGATAGGTTGACCCAGACGCTCAGCGGTGCTGCGTTTCATGAGCAAGACTGCAGCGGCGCCATCGGAGATCTGCGAAGCGTTGCCCGCGTGGATGGAGCCGTCCTTTGCAAAAGCTGGACGAATCTTTGCTAGGGATTCCGCGGTGATTCCGGGTCTCACTCCGTCATCTTTGGTGACGGTCACGGTCTTTTCTTCCTCGGTCTTGGGATCGGTGTATTTGACCGTGATAGGTGCGATTTCTTCGTCGAAGAGACCTGCCTGTTGAGCTCTTAGGGCCTTTTGGTATGAAGAGGCGGCGAAGGCGTCTTGGTCGACACGGGAGATCTTGCGATCCTTGGCCATCTGCTCAGAGAGAACGCCCATAGGAACCTTGCAGTTTGCGGCTTGCATGTGGTTTTCCAGGAGATCGGAGAATTCGGTGACTGCACCAGGGCCATATTGGGAAGACATGCTCTCGACGCCAGAGCCGATCCCGACTTCAATCATGCCGGATCGGATGGCATTGGCAATGTCCACGCATGCCTGCAGACCAGAGGAACATTGTCTGTTCAGGGACTTGACAGCCGTTGTTACTGGAAAGCCCGCAACAAGAGCAGCTGCACGGTATTCAGTAGCACCACCTCCTGGAGCAAGTACGCAACCGGTGGCAATGTCCTCGACAAGACTCGGGTCAATCTTTGAGCGTTCAATGAGATTCTTGAAAGTGAGGGCCAGAAGGTCGGCGGCGGCGGTGTCCTTGAGTAGACCCCTGCCGCCTTTTGTGAAAGGTGTGCGAATGGCACAGGTGACGACGACGTCGTCGGGGGACTTGGAAAAGATTGATTGCTTGCTGCCACCGAGGTGGCCGGAGACTTGGGAGAGGCGGGCTTGTGCTATTGCAGAGTTTCACATGTTAGTGGCCCACGTCAGATCCTGGATGCTGGAAGAGGGCTTACCTGCAGACATGCTGGATTGTATAGCAGGATTTCAGAAATTGCAAGGGAATGGGGTGGCAGGGCAACAACGACAAGATGTGAAGTAAGAAAAGAGACAAAGGGAGAGTGGGAAAGAGCTAAATGATTTATGATCACCAAGTCACAAGGTAACTTTGAAATTGATCCATGGGCGATTTTCTCATATGCATATGCGCGTCTGGCAACGCAGCGATGCGATGCCGAGGCATGTGCAATGCTGCAGAGCAACAGCGCGAATGAAGTCATTGCTTGGTCACCAGTCATGGAAAGGGATCGTCACGTGGACCGTGAAAGTCACGGGCAATTGAGGATCGCTGGTTGGGCCGGGAGATATGTTCTTCCGCCTCCACATCAGACCTCTCAATTCACTGTCCGTTTGTCGATTTCAGCATTGGAATATATCTCCATCGCCGCTCTCCAGACATGGCGACACCAGCAAGAGCCTCTCGCGCTCTCTTGTTTATGCGCCATTGCCGACGCTCCTCCCTGGTCCCAAGTACTCGCCATTCCTCGTCCTACGCCGCTTCCTCTTCGTCGCCATACGCACCGTCAAACTTCACCCGCCAGGCACCGTCACCACCTGCAGCATCGTCCAAACCGGACACCTCTTACGATGCCTTCCCATCCTCCTCCTCCTCCTCCTCTTCCTCAGCGCTCTCCTCTCTCCCGACCCCGCGGCCGCTCTACGCCCACCCAAAATCCCGCTCTCCTCCAGTCGAAATTCCGGGCACCAGACTAACGCCCTATACATGGCTCCTCTCGCTCCTGGGTTTCGCACCCAAGCCGGCCCCATCCTACACCCCGGCGCCCTTCCGCGTGACGAACAACCCGTACCGCGCACGAAAGAAGTGGCCTCCGGACTTCCGCAACCTGGATCCTAAGCAACAGTTCCATTTCGAGAAGACGTACAGGCGGAGGGCCGCGTTGAAGTGGGCACGCCCCAGGTGGAACAAGGCCATAAAATTGCTGCAGCAGACGTTGATCACGGCGACGATCGTGTATTTTGTCTTCATCTGCGAGCCCAGCCATGGCATGGGCACGCCTTTTGACGGGGTATGAGGGATTCCCTTTCTCTTCCTGACAGTGCATTTCGGCTAACCCAGGTTTGACCCAGTTTCGCATGTGGTTCTTCGATAAGCTGGGAAAATTGGGACAGCTGCCTGAATCTACTAGAGAGGAGGCGGATAAGCTGAGTGAGGAAGCGAAGAAGAAGATGAAATCCCCTGTTGAGACGTCACCTACGACTGCCACATCTTAAATTGAACCTATGTCTGAGCTATTCATGCTTTAGACGTATTTATATTCCAGGGGTTAGCATAGCATCCATTTCCCGGTCCGACACCTCCATTCAATCCTCAAAACTCTATTTCATCGCGAACTCGGGCCCGTCATCGTTTGTTTTGCCGTTTGAATGATACTCCAGTACCAGCTTTCACATCGATCGACAAGACCTCCCTTTTCGTCCCCCTCTTACGCTTTCCCAAGGCCAACAAGAACCAGCAGAGCCACATTCATCACCACTAGCACAAGCCAGATAGTCGTAGCAAGGATCGTGACAATCCATCCGTTCCGCATATTCACCGCTCCTCCGTTGTTGTCCGTCCTCACAGTCATGATCTGGCTTCGACAGGTGAACCAGACGAGAGGGGCAGTGACAAACGGCAAAATGACGCTCAGGCACACTTGACTTGCAGTCAAGGCCGAGTTCAAGCCATCTTTTCCCACGGCTGCGGCGATAATAATGCTGGGGACGATGCTGATGGATCGGGTGATCAGTCTCCGCACCCAGGGTTTCAAAGTCCAGTGCAACATCCCCTCAGACACCATCTGGCCCGCCATGGTGCAGACAATGCCGGCGGAGGTGCCCGATAGCAGGAGGGCGAGCGCAAAAATAGTGCCTGCTGCCTTGGAAAGATTCGTACTCAGGAGATCGTGGATGCCAAAGAGATCGGCCTCCGTAGCAGCGGTTTCCGGATAAAGAGACGCTCCAGAGACAATGAGGATGGCTGAGTTGACAAACAAGGCAAAAGTGAAGAGTGAAGAAGCTAGCTCCACGATCGAATACTTGAGGCAAGCTCGAATGGCATAGATGGAAGGCACATATTTCTCCTCTTCACTGTCTGATTCCTCGCCCGCTGGGATGTGCCCATGCTGCCGGTCAAATTGCTTTAGGCGCGGCTGCACCACGCCGGATCCTAAAAAGATAGAATGAGGCATAACGGTCGCTCCAATGATGCCACAGGATAGATAGACACCGTTTCCTTCAACGATCGCCGAAGAGGGAAGATAACCTTTGAATACTTCCCCAGCTGTCGTGTCTTTGATGAAGGAGAGTTGGATGCAGAAGCACACCATGACGCCAAGGACGAGGCTCATGACGAAATACTCGAACAGTCGCAGATGCATCATGGAACCATTCGGACGATAGAAAAGGAGAAGAAGCAGAACATCGACCAACGTTATAGCACATCCTGCAACTAGAGGGATGTGGAGGAGAAGGTTGAGGGCTATTGCCGAACCGATGACCTAGATGCATTTGAGGTCAGAGACGAGGTATCAAGGGGAGACCGGTTTCGCTCAAGAACTTGACTCACCTCTGCAATATCAGTGGCGATGATGGCGGATTCCGCAAACAAATATAGGATGAGTGTTAGCCACTTGGGCAGGTGTTTCCGACAGTTTTCAGCCAAGTTGAGCCCCGTGACGCTGCCCAGCTTGATACAGAGAGATTGCAGAAAGATTGCAAACAAATTGGACATGAGAATGATGAACAAATGACCATATCTCGTGGCCGCTCCCGCTTCCACGTCCGTAGCATAGTTTCCCGGATCGATGTAGGCGACGGCGATGAGAAATCCCGGACCCACGAATTTCGCATACTTTTGTGTAGTAAATATAGCCTTGTTTATGAAGGCAGATGGAGAGCGGAAGCTCTGAAATCGTTGGGGGTGGGTTTGTTGAATGGCCGCTGGCTGGTGCGCTAGCGGATCAACCTTGACAGCGGTGGGAGTCTTCAGGACAATTGAAGGTGATTCTGGATTGTCCACAAGCATGACCCGTATGTCTTCTTGCACATCATTATCCGGACTCGACGCTGTATCTCTCTCTTCTCTGAGATTCACAATCCCATTGAGGTCCGCCCTTGTGGTCAGGTCTGAGCTCAAGGCTTGCGGATTCTGGTTCCAGTCCGGATGAGCTTCGGTGTCGTCTGTGCGTGAGGGGCAATTCATGATGGTGACGCTCTCGAGGACGAGGTTTCTTGGGCAGAAATGGAAACAAAGAAGGTGGAGTAAGGACGGTATGAAAGATATTATATCATTTGGAACCAACTATGTGGCTAAAACCACCGTTACCGTACACGGTTTCTCCCGACCCAAGAAGTCCGTTGCGGTGAGGGGGGAGGAGATCGATCTATGATGAAGGATGACGGAGATGACAAGCAGCTGCAGCACAGCCAGCCGTCAGCAGCTTTTCTTGGAAACAAATCTCTGGCTTGGTCAGGCGTTGCAGCTGACAGAGAATTGGTTTTCTGGCAAGGACTGGGGAGACCTTGACTTGGTTTTATCGTTGATGAATGGAAGTGAGATGAGTGCTGAACACGGGGTGCCGAGTGTTTTCAATTCAGGTACCAGGCACACCTGAAGCGGTAGGGCGCGGATGAGGAAATTCCCGGGAGGCAAGAAATGAGGACCATGAGACGAAAAGTGTTCTATGCTGAAGGCCGCTCGATTGAAGCTATGATACCGTCATTATCCCCTGTTCTCGTTCGTTGATTGATGCGGTGATGGGCAAGATGGAACTGGTTCGAATTGTTGAAGAATTGTCGAGCACCTGCAGAGGACCGCAGATAGGGACGGTACATACATACTTTAGTGCCTGGCGAAGGCGGCTGCAGTGCCGTGGGCAATGGACATGCCCCAGACTTTCCAATGTCAGTGGCTGCTAGGCTTGCGACTGGGCTCGATAGGCCCGCTAGCCCCTCGGCGTTGGGGGCTTGACTCCATCTGGGAAGGCCCTGTTTGTTCTTCCGGGAGGCTGGTTCCGCCTGTCCAGCGCCGACGAAGCCCGTGCCCGGGTGTCACTCATTGCCCGCCAGAGTTTCGAATCTCCCAAACACCCAGCAAAAGAAGTGTGGAGAAGGCTGACGACGGCCAGAGCGCCAGCTCGATTGGCTGACCCTTCCACTCTCAACCCGCGACAGCTCGAGTCTCGACATCCGACGTCGTGGAATTGATCTGTTGACAGCTTCTTCGTCTCCATGGTATCCAGTCTTGTCAACAACCCATCAGAAAAGCATATTGAACTCTCGCCAACATCTCTTTGACAGACTTTCGAGGCTACTGCATGATCAACCTGTGCATCGAGGGAAACTGCGCCCACTGCCTGCGCGAGTTGCGATCCCCAGTCGACTCCACCACTTGCGAACCATCGTTGCTCGCTCTCGAACCCAAATAACCATTCCTGTTCCTCCAGCGATGCAGCATCGATAAGCCTTCATCCTTTTAGGCAAAGGGGGAAGTCGGAGAATGGTCATTGGTGAGCGGGCGGTGGTTGCTACGCCCTGCTGCTACTCGGAAGTCACATTATGAACACCAACAACAAACCGTCGTATGCCCCTCTCCAGCGTCGCAGGCGGAGATCTGATCAAATTTCACCATCCTCTCCCTCCTATCCAAGACGACTGCTTGACCGTCCAAATAGACATAGTGATGCGCTTAGCCCAGCCGACACGCCGTCTGCGACAGATGAGTCGGATAGCCCTTCGCTCAGCCTCAACCTCACTCTCACATCTCCCCTCCACGACCACTTTGCGCCTTTACCACCCGTCCCGCCCTTTTCCAAGTCTCCTGTGGTTGATTCAAAACAACACCACCAATACCAGAGATCTTTTGACGAAGCCGGCCGCTACAGATATGGATCACCAGACGAAGCTGACCGTCCGGCGACGAGTGACGCGATCGATCGGAACAATGCTGCTCCTGTCTCGCATGCAAAATCCCCGCTCATAGGACCAGACCACACGTTAAGGCCGTCTCCCGTGCCGCCTTCTATCCGTCTCGACAACCAAGAAAGAAAGACGCTTGACCCACCCATAAAACTCGGAGACAATGCATCCTCTCCCAGCCTCCGGAACTACAGCTTTTCCACGCAAACCTCCGATAAGTCTGCGCATGATGAGCCGGTCCCAACGAAAGGGCATACAGGGAAAAAGAGTAGGCTGAATCTTCTGAATCCAATGAGTCTGTTGGCTCGTCGCAGGTCATCTCAGAATCAAAAACTCGAGGACGTAAATCTCACACTGTCCGTCCCAGCGTTGCCTGATAATTTCGACCCAAGCATTCGAGGCAAGGTTGTCCATGATTTTTCCGCTCCACGATCACGCAGGCTCTATTCCCACAACGATATTGGCAATCTAGACTCCCCGGCCTTGCGCTCTGCATACGGGCCGGACCCCAGTCGAAACAATGATTCACCGGTTTCCCGATTGGCGCCCAGCGGAACACCAAATATTCCACACAGTCCGATGTTCAAAGAACACTTTCAGGACGATCGGCCGTCATTGCAACCCGATCGGACAGGCTATCTGCACAACATCCACGCATTCAATTTGGCCAATGACCGTCAGGATGAGAGCAGCGTGCCAGCTTTCGCAAGACGCCTACCGTCTGCTGTACCGCAAGCAGGTCTGCATGCGAATTCTGAGCTACCTAAGGAAGAAAACAAACCGCCACCGCCACCAATGGCAAAGGAGACCGCACCGTTACCGCCCATAGGGGAACCTTCACCACCTCCTCCAACACCCCCACCGAAGAGCACGCCGTCCCCGAAGTTTGACATTCCGCCGCCGGCGTCGCTTCCGAGGCACATGACCAGCACTTCCTCCCGCTTTAGCTTTCAAATCGGTGGAGCAGGCTCATCGGCGCAGGAGAGATTGCTCGAGGAGAAACACAAACAGCAGGAAGCAATCAAGAAAACCATTGCCCACAGCGCCGATGAGGAGGACGACTATGCTGACTATGATTTTGATGCAGACGATGGTTTGGAGGAGATGATTCCTGGGGTGAACGCGGACTTTGAGGAAGATGATGGTTTCGGCAACGACATTCCGATAGGAAATGCGCTTGTGGCTCGTTATGGTCCTCCCGAAACTGAAGAATCCGCCGCATCAGATATCAAGACCACGACTCTGCAGCGACAATCACTACAAGGATTTCATTTTACTCCTCAATCCATGACATTCAGCCCGACCAGCACCAA